CAGCGCAGACGTAGAGTCATAGAATGGTTTGGGTTGGAAGGGACCTCAAAGATCGTCTGGTTCCAACCCCCCTGCCATGGGCAGGGACACCCTCCAGTACACCAGGTTGCCTAAAGCCTCATCCAACCTGGCCTTGAATGCCTACAGGGACGGGGCATCCACAGCTTCTCTGGGCAACCTGTTCCAGTGCCTCACTGCTCGCGGAATGAATTTGGGGGTGGTGAGGCGCATACATGCTGCTGAGCCGTGAGGCTTTTAATGGTCATCCTGACAGGGCTTTCGCATGAGTGGAAAAGGTGTTTTTCTCCCTCTGTATGAAGCAAAAGGCGGTTTTCTGCTGTTAACTCATGTGTCAGGGCTTTTCTGTTTTGTTTTATTGCCATGTGTATCTTTGATTGCTTTTTAGGCTTTGATCTGGACCTTTAATAGTACATGCACATCTTTCGTGAGCATTTTACTGTTGGTAAAAGTGAAAGTTTCATCTGTAGTTTAATAACAAATAGAGTTGAATTTCAGTTTGTTTTAGCAGTCACGTATTTACTCGCATTGTAATTTCAGGTTAAGCGTACCTGAAAGTACACCTTTCACAGCTGTCTTGAAGTTTGCTGCAGAAGAAGTAAGTAGAAAGTGATGATGTTGGTTTTTAAGTTGAACTTTATTGAAGGCAAAAGCTTTTTAGTTGTAAAATACAATGGTTAATTCGGCACAAAGAATGCTCTTGTTAGACACGTGTGGGCACAAGGTTTAATGGTGTCAGTGGGGGCCTGCCAAAACTTAGCAATTCTTGCACAATTTACACATCAACAGCAGGTATTGACATGCTTCCTATTCTTCTTTGCAATTAAATTCAACCATTCTATAGCAATAATGCAAAAGTTTATGGCAGTGAACATAATTAAAAGATACAGCTATTGAATGTTTAGTATTTTAAATTGCTTCTGTAGAATATCCAGAAAATTCGTTAGAATTATTTAAGAAGTTCTTAAACTCTTCTCACATTCAGTTCCAGTAATGTCTGACTTTGGAAGATGTATAATTTTTGATTGTAGAAGGTATTGAGATTAGGCATATGGGCTAGGTTAAAAAAACAGACTGAAGTGAATAAGACTTGGATAATGCGTTCTTTGGTTTCTTAGTGTTTGATCGTTCACGTGGAACCCAAAACCAGTAGGTGCCTATATAATGTATTTGAAGGGATGCATCCGGTTTGTTTCAGATTAAGCGTACAGAGATTAAGAGATGTCCATCTGGGTGTAAACAGTAAAATAAAGTGCTCAAAACCATGGTGGCTTTTTTCATCTAGTTAGCAAACAGTCTGTTCTTGCAATTCCCTTTCTGTCTGTTTAGGAAAAACTTGGAAAAGTTTGGGTTACTGAAAATTTCATTTGTTTAAGCATTGGAATTGTAATTAAAAAAATAGTTAGGAAGGATAATGGACTATGTGTCTTTACTCTCCTTATGTTGTTAGTGTTATACCACTACGCAACAGAAGTTCTTAGTGGAGACACAGCTTGTGGGGAAAGGTTGTGGGTTGTTTGTTTGCTGTAACTTCACTTGAACAGAACAATATAAAGAATAATAAATGCTGTTAAAGATAATTTCTGATAGAATTGCTGTTTTTTTTTCCTATGTTTTTTCCCCCAATTACTGTAATCTGAACTAATGCAGCTGTGCCTAGACAATCCATCCATAGGGACCTAGACTGAAAAGTCTAGTAGACTAGTATGAGAGACCAGGAAAGATTGGAGTGGAGCTGAGTAGTTGGAGACACCAGGAGTGAGGGGCCATTTCTGGTGGGAGGGTTGCTGTTAAACCTGTTAACTTTACCTACTTGTGGAACCACAATGCTAGTTGGTGACACGGTCCTCTGTAACATGGGTTTAGAGAAGAATTAATTACTTAAATATTCACATTTAGCAAACCATTCTTTTAGCTGATGTGCGTATTTTGAGCATCCATGGGAGTTCTGCTGTCTGACCTCAGACCACTCTGATCAGCACAGTTTTATACAGTAATTGTAGATGTGTTTCAAAGACTCTATATGATATGTATACATTACCTGTTATGAGATGACGTAGTATTTTTTACATTCTTACTGTTAAATATGTAGCTTCTGTTTTATCAACTTCATTATTCAAATCTTACTCTTGAAGACGAGTTGTTACTTTCCTCATGGCTTTTCTGCCATGACACTGGTATCTAACTTATCTTTTGCAGAAATTACTGTTTTCATGTCACCCTGCAAGATGAGGAGGTGACATGATTTACTTGCTATGGATAAAAAGTTAAGAAAGAAAGAGTTTTTTTAAAAAAATCTGCTAATTTTATGTGTCTGGAGGCAAAAAGAGGCAGTTTTTCAGTATATTAAAAATTAGGTACTGTATTCAAGCATGGCTTCTGTGAGCTTTAGCTGTTGCTGTTAATGCACAGAGTTTCTGCAAATCAGACCTTGAAGTCTTAAGTTAAGCAATCAGAAAATGAGGAAAGCACAACTAGTGAATGCTATTGAAAGGCATGGCTGAAGTGACTTGTTGAGCAGATGGGAGAGCTCTGCAGTTCTTCCAGGGAAGCTCTCAGAGTTAGCATTCGTAGTTATCTGCCCTTTTTCTTGTGCAATGTAGAGAGGAGGATGAAGTGCTTTGACAGGAGCTTTCACTAATACTTGCTAATTGCAGAGACACCAGTCTTTTACTTTGTGGGCTGTTCGTTGTGCTAAGTAAAGGAAGTCCAAGGAGCAACCTTTGGTCCTCAGACCATCCATGTAGTACTGATTGACTTGTACCCACACTACCCTTTCTATCCTGAGTCGTCCAACCACATTAGATAGTGCAGGACTTTTCTCTGGCCCTGCCTGGCACACTCTGGTCCTGAGAAATAATTACTTTTGGCTTCCCCATCTCAGTTCGGATCTTCTGAAATAGTTTGAAGCCTGAATGCAATGCAGCCTCACCTGAGTAGGGCTTTTTGTGTTGTAGAACAGTGTATGATGCGCACCGAAGTGGGGTAGCGTAGGGACACACGGTGGTAGTGGCTGAGGGTACAAAGCCTGCTTAGGCTCGTGTCAGAAACCTGAGGAGGGAGCCAGATTTGGTGCAGTGCTGTTAGTGCTTCCTTTTGTAAGCAAATCCTGGAGTCAACTCAACTCTTAGAGCAGTGCGGTTGGAGAGCTCCCAATAGAGCCAGAGAGAAAGCTAGGAAGCTGGTCAAAATTAGTCAAGATTAGCTCGAGCTAATTCTTGTTTAAATCCTGTTAAACATAACAGGTATGCTTCTTAGAAGTTCATTTCCATACATGTTTTAGGTATTCCTTTGTTTAGTATAAGAACTAATATTTCTTAGCTTTGCACGTGGTTTAACTTACATTTATGCAATGAGTAATAATAATTGGATTTGATAAGTTTTTTAGTGCTGTACATTTCTCATTCTGTATTGAGGTGTCCAATCAACTGTGACTTTAAACCTTTATTTTGCTGTATCTATAAATATGAGGGGAATCTTTTCTCATAATATTTTTGTTCCTGAACTAGCTAAAATTTCAATTGCTTTGAATAGTCCCCATATATTTTCTGCTTTAACTATGTCTCTTATATTATTTTGTCCTATTGTTATTCCCTTTAGTTCAAAGTTCCTGCAGCAACAAGTGCCATTATAACAAATGGTAAGAAAATAGTTTGTATATATTTTTAAATAGTTTTTGTATTGTAGTTTCAGTGAAGTGGTATTGATAAAAGCGAAAGTGTCTTTTCTTTCACAACCTCTACAGACTGCAAACTGAATTTAATAATATTGCAGCATTATTTAAATTGCTTATGCATGGGATGAAGGTATTAAACCACTAATACTATTAATTTGGTTTTGTCCAAATATACAGCTTGGATTTTCTGTGCTGAAGCTTTCTTGTCAGTTCCTGTGATAAAACTATTTTTGGTTATAGGAAGTAACGGCATGAAGACCTAATGTAATAATTCTGTCTTGTTGGTATATTATATTTTTTGAACTCTAATAATATGTCTGTTTCGTCTTCCTCTCTTTTTTATCGTTTTTTTTTCCCCTCCTAGATGGTATAGGAATAAACCCTGCACAGACAGCAGGTAAGTTATTTATGAAACCTGGTATTAAAAATCTCAGTTATTTTTCTTTTAAACTAATGCATAGCACTCAAGGTTGATTTATATTTTAAGTTTTGATTTCTTAAATGGGAGAAGCATTTCCCCGTAGTTGGAAACTACAGTCGGTGTAGTGTGTAAAAGGTTAAATCCAAAGAACTATTGTTCAGCATTTCTTTATTTAGGACTGTGAAAAAAGGAGGAACTTCTGATCTTCAGAGCTTACTTACTCAGTGTGCAGTTTAAAAGAGCAATACTGTATTACATGTTACTGAAACAACAAGTAATAGCTATATTTTTTTCCCCAGTACACCTAGTTGAGTAGTATTTTCTATTTTAGCAGCACTTCTCATGAGATATGTTTAAAAAATAATACTCAGCTTTACAGCAGGAACTCTAGGTGCTTTGGAAAGCATGTTTTTAAGAAGAGAGGATCTTCTTGCTGATGGCTGCCTTGTTCTCACCAAGGGATTCCGAGTTAGCAATCTCTGATTTCAACTGTGGAGGTTTGCTGTGGGACAAGAGTTTATCTCTATCATAGAAAAGTGTAGAGCTTTTCCCTATCACCTCCTGAAACACATGGAAATGTAATACAGACGTCAAATTGTACTAGTAATGGTCTGTTGACTGGAACCAGGCTTCTGTGGACTTGTTCTTGAAAAACTATACTTTTAAATTAATTTGGAAATTATTACAGTAATCTAATCTCAACCTATTCGAGATGAGTGTTGCCACATCTCTGTTTTTCACATGAAATATCTGCCAGATCTCATTAGTTTGTGCCCTCTGTATGCCAGTTGTTATTGAAGGTAACACACTATTATTTTTTTTTTTTTCAGATCTAAAGAGAGAATAAGAAAGCAAGATATTATGAGCATACTTAGCTATGTGAGATAAACAGTATAAAGTAAATCCTTGCAGAGCACATAATAGTATCTGATGGCTTGAAGAGCAGTTGATTGACATTAGTTTAGGGAATTTCTTGGAGCTGTAAAAGGAACCATGTAAGTGTAGTGACCCATTGCATCAACAACATTTGAAAATGAAGATCAAATGAGTGTTTGGCTTTCTGCTCCACTGCAGGTTTCTGTCCTGCCTGGACTTGCCTTAGGACACCTGTATTATTGTTTGACAGGTGTACTGCCCCAGGCAGGCTCCTCAGCTGATGATGTCTTCATCATGATCCCATGACCAAATTAAAAACAGATAATAAAATTCATAATTTAGCTACTAGATCATCACCCACATGTAAAGCCACATTTTCACATGACCACTCAAGAATACTTAGGCAAAACAGGTGAAGTCAGTTACTTAAGTATATTTATGGAGTTTCTCTTCCCTGAAAGTACACTTCCATTTTGTATTATGTCGCTCAAATTAGTTGTAGCTTAATCCTGCAAAGTAAATGTATTTAGGACTACTTGACTCTTGAATGAAAACATCCATATGGTAGTTCATCATGCTTGCAGCTATGCATGTTGAATTCACATCTCCAATTGATGTGCTTTACCTCTCCTAAACTCTTATAAAAGTTGAGGAATTATTCCATAGTAGAAGACAGAATCTCATAATCAAGGATCAGGTAAATCAAAAGCATCTAGGTGCAAAATATTTTCATCACAGTCTTAATCTTATCTGCAAATGTAAGATTAGGCACAGGGGTTGCACACGGATTATTTTTTTTAACATAGAAGGTCCCATTGCCCTGACAGTGCTATGTGATGTTGCCCTAAAACTGAGGAGAGAAAATACAACCCAACCCTCCTCCCCCCCTCCCCCCCAAAAAATCTAACTGAAAAATGACCTACACCAAACCCAAGACCCAGACCAAAATCACTCCTCAGTTTACAAGGAAACATATTTAACTATTACCTTATGTTCAGCCTTATTAACAGATATGTCAGAAATGTGGTAGGGTAAAAGGTACTTTTTTTTTTTCTGTTTTTTTCTTTTTTTTTTTTTTTACATATATTAAAGTTCCTGTAGATTGAACAGTTACTTTAGTCTTCTAAAGCTTCCCAAAATGAGATGATCTAGGAGTAAAATCTTAGTAATCCTTGGAGATTTTAGAGGTTTTTTACTGTTCCACTATTTCTCCACCTTTCTGAATATAAAAGTACTCCTGAAGTTTGACTTTCTCTCATTCTCCCTACATGATTCCATGGAGCAGGGGAAATGAAAGCTGAAAAAGCCAGGCTTAGCACTTAATTCCCATACTGATTTCAATTTTAAATCCTTGGTAGTTCAGGGAATAGTATGCCATGACTTTAATAAAACTGCTGTGATATTAATGACGGAAACAGACTGAGAGGTGGAGGGAACTGCTGTCTGCATGAGATGCAGCCTGTTTTAAAATTTTAGAGTTTTGTGATGACCATTGCAATATAGATACTTTTCATCTAGATTAGTAAACTTAATTCTGTGGTTTGCTGGTGTGACAGATTTGTGTGCAGTCGATTTTGTAGATGTCTTCAGTATGTGGTCTTGGCAGGGTCTAAAACCAGAACTTCTTCTGATAACACATTTTTTTGAACTGATTTTCTAACACTCGTTATGTTGAATAAGTAGAACAGTTTCAATCCTGATCTAAGTGCTGGAAAAGTGAAGATTGAAAAAGGGTAGCTTTGTTCTAATATGCTAATAACTTGAACAACTGTTAAATATCTTAAATCTTCTTTATGAGAGCTCTCTACATCTCTGAAATGGGGTGCTTGGGAGACAAATAAAATTAGTCTGTTTTTACAAGTCAACAAAAAGATGAATAGCAATAGGTAGATATTATTAAAACCTGATATTGTAGAATTACATACAGTTTGTTTTGTGCAGTAGCAGTATGAAGTAAAAAAAAAAAGGGTTCATATAGTAATTAAATAATGCGTTACTTTTAGCAATGTGGTTTCATATTCAAATGTTACATTTAATGGAAGAAAACAGCAACCTGAATGACAATCCTGAATACGTACAGAAAATATTCTAGATGTCTAAGTATTAGAATCTTCTGATTTTCATACTGTGTCCTCCTGAAAAGACTACCATGATTAAGACTATATAGAAATAAATATGAATTTCAAGATTTTTATGCTTAAATGTGACTGACTTATGCTTGGGTATGTGAAGAGCTTTCCTAAAAGAAAAGTACACTTGAGGTTCTGAAGTTAGAAGCAGATAAATACTGAACCAAGGAGACAATTAAAAATAAGTATATGCATGAATGACCTCAAGATTAAAAAAAAGTAATTATGTAGAAGTGGAATGGAACTGCATTTCCCGGCTTTGAAATTATTATGGCACATGAGTGAAATCAGGCATTCAAGTATGGAACTGCGAAGTTTGAAAGGCCATAGCTTGCAAGACTTATTAGATAACTTGGGTCTGGTATTTTTATGTAAAAATAAGAGCTCTTTGGAGTAAGAGATATAAGATGGGATTCCACGGAAACATAAAAAAATATATTTCTGGTATGTTAGAGGAATTATTACGAAGACGTTAAACACTGACCTAACATTATTAGTCTTTAAATATGCATGCTTGTTCAGGTAACACTTTATTTGATTGAGTGGTAACACATTCTGTTTTGTTTGTTTGTTTGTTTAGGAAATGTATTTCTAAAGCATGGTTCAGACCTACGGATTATTCCCAGAGATCGAGTTGGGAGTTCTTAACCTCTCCTGAAAGCTTTGGAATAAGTGACATTGCAATGCAACAAAGGTCTATTTTGGAACTCCGAAATACAACCAATGAATTGGCCTTTTCTAAAGCTAGCAAAAATGACTTCCCAGGATTTGACTTTTCTTAAAACATAGATCAGGTTTCATTTCTTTGTTAAAATGTATTAACTCATGCACTGATTCTTCCCTTACTAGTAGAAGAATGGGCTGATTGCATGTTATGTTCCTGAAAGAAAGATGGACTTTTCGATAGGTGTTACTGAGACCACAAGGGTAAACACACAGCCATGATCAATAGATATTTAAAATATTGAATATTGTTAACAGAGCCTACTTTGTGCAAGGGGGAATGGTGTTATGATTTTGCTACAAAGAAATTATTCCTACTGAGTAATACAACGCCTCCCGCCCCTTAATTGTTTTTCTAGACTTATTTCCAAGTTTAGAGTAACAATTTTCACATGGTTCAAGTATTAAGCTCAAATAGAAGGGAAATTTGCAGGGTTTATTACTCAAATAACTGCCAAATGTTCCAAAGTAACTGTCAGATTTAATTGCTGCAAATATTTTAAATGAAGGAGAAAACAGATTTCTATGTGTTAAAACTTCATTTGAAGTACTCTGAAGTTAAATTAAATGCAGTTTCAGAGAATTTGAGACCTAGTGTCCTCACAGGAAGTGCCATCAGCCGAGAAGGATTGCAGCATAATTCAGGAGTGTGTAGGTACTGGTCAAAAATGTCATTCCTTTTTCAGTAGACTAATACTGGTTCTTTCTAACAGTCTTGTTTTGTTACTCTGTGTTACATGAGAAACAGCGTAGAATTCACTGAACTGTTTGTGTTCAGATTACATGCTTCTTGTTTATAAATTGCCGGGGTGAACTATCAGTTTTATATTTTAATTAGAGAAATTACTGCTTTTCTTCAACTGCTAATCTACTTTGCTATTTAATAAATTTGGCAGAATTTTACTTTGTTGGTTTTTTTTCTGTCCCACTGAGTTGAACAGAAAGAACAGTTAGCAATGTAGTGCTTGGTTAAATGAGTATCATCACAAATACAACTGTCCTGTGCAATAGCTGTGCTCTAGAGAGATGTTCAGATAATGTGTCAGATAGTACAGAACTACAAAATGTCCTTCTGAGTGAGTGTAGATTGAGTATATAGAGGAAAACCTCTTCTGAAAGTGATATTTGACTGTAAATGTTTTCCAACTCTAAGATTGTAAAATTCTGGATTTTCCTTTATTTTAATAAACAAGCATATGAAAAAAGTGCAAACTTTGTTCCTCTCTCATTTCCATAGTTAGATTTTGACAAAAATTAAAAACACTGCCCTTTAACCTTCTAATGAACATCTTTGAAATTCATTTCAATTTTCATGCTTCAAGATTCGATTCATTTAATTTCTTTCATTGTTATTATGTAGAACTCTACAAAACAGTGCCCTTAAGGAGCAGAGTACATAGTTTCTATTAATCTGACGCCACAATATAGTCATGATGAGCCAAATTAGTTGCTTGTAATTTTTGTCTGAAAATCTCTTGACTGAATACCTGAAAATCCACCTGATACTGGAATATAACAAACAGGAACCTTTTCTTTTTTTTCATTCTCTGAAGGTGAAAGATAGTTTCTGAAAGGCCGTCACGGTTAAGTGCATTTTGAAACTAAGATGCTTTGATATTTCTGTAAAGGAGGGCTATGTAAAAATAGTGTTGGATGATGATTAGCATTTCTTACACTGTTACTTAGGTAATAACACAGCATAAAGTACTTGTTTTACATACTGCATTGCAAGTAGTTTATGTAACGTGCAAAGGATCTGTTCATTCAGAGCAATAACTGATCTTTACAGTACTTTCTGTATTCATTACACCTTTGTCTCAATATGGTCTCTAAAATCTGAACCTGACTTTTCCACTTGGTAAAGAGGCTTGACTTCAGCGGTAAAATACACTTACCAGATGCTTCCAAGTTGATTTGAGGTTTAAGTTAATTTTGTTACACCAAAGTCGTGTTTGACATGATTGTGTAGAAAAAAATTTAAGTTTAGAACCAGGCTTCCTAGGGCTTGGGAGTCGTCATAAGATTGTGAGAAGTGCGGGACTCTGAGACTTGTACTGGTTTGTCTAACCATACTTTAAGGCACACTTTGGCAATCAATTCTACCTGGAGTTTGTATTGTCTGGGGCTTTGGTTATAACTTGACTGATATTAGGTGAAATACTTTGTTTGTGATAAACTTTGTCACGCATTTGCTGAAGTCAATTTAAAGGGACTTTTTTTATGTATTTGTATTTCTCGTTTGTGAAAGGATGGTTGGTTTATGTTAAAAAGAGAAATTTTGGCAGAACCATAAATGTGAAAAGTCACACCAAAACTTTTAAAAAGCTGTAATGATTCTTTTGGTTTATACAATATTATAGAAGTCTTAGTTTTATCAAATTATTCTTTGGTAGAATTTGAAGGTATCATGGAAATTTTTCAGGAAGGGAAGCACAAATATCCCAGAAGTACAGAGGAACTGGAAGAGCTCAGAAATGGCCCTGATAATAGCTCTGTCAGTACTATGGCTTTCTTCCTTGTGTTCTCTGGCCACAGAATCCAACTTTTTTCTGTGTATGAAATTAAAAGACCATTTCCTCCTCTTTTGTTGCTACTAAATAATAACTGTAAAAATTGTTCACAGCAGGTCTCAGAAGTTGAGAATTTTTCTTCTTCATGTTTAGGTTGATGGTGAAAACCCAGCTCCCGCTGCTGCTCCAGTGATACAATGCGCAGTTGGAGCGAGAGAAGGAGCTGTGCCAGTGCCACTGCAGAACGTTAGTGGATTCTGAAGGTGCTGGGGGCACAGCAGTCCTTTCTGTGGCAGCATGTGGGTGGTCGTCAAACGGAGCTCTTTAATGCGCAGTGGAAAAAACTAAATCCTGCAGTCATCCTAGTAGCAGTGTGGAGCCTGTGTTCCAGTGATACCGGCAGGAGCCCAAAGCTCCAGCTGAGTAAAATTCAGTCCATGCGCAACGCGTGGTGTTCAGATTTAAATACAGTAATACCCAGCTACACCTCTCGGCAGTGAGTTTCAGCCGCTGTTCCTACTGATGGAAGGTAAATACCGGGGAGTGTTCACAAAGGCTACCGTGATTTTTTTGAGGCTAATCTCTGCAGGCTGTTTCTGAAGTTAATGGAAGTGAGGTTCCTCCAGAGAAAGATGGAGTAGCTAAATGAATCTTCAGTTCTGAATCGCCCTCTGGAGGAGCTGTTCACTCTTTAGTGATTAGAGAAAAGCCATTGAGGCAATAGCCTGCAGGGGCTAATGTTAGCCTCTGTGAATACCTTCCCCAACAGGCACTTTGCCCTCCTGTCGATACTGTATGTTACAGCATTGCACTGCGTACTTGCTGTTGTTTGATCTTGATGTTTAGCACATGATATAAAGCTCCCGGGGAATTGTTCAAAACCAAAATTACAAGAACTTGTTTGCATGAAAACAAAACTGCTTTTTTATGTGATATAATGAGTTGAATTTTTTTTCTTCTTTTTTTTTTTCCTTTTTACGCTTACAGCAAATAATACTCTCATTGTTTCTATTTTTTTTCTCCAGAAGTATAAACATCTAATTAGTAAGGATATTATGAGTGATTCCAACCTCCTTTTACATCACTTCTATTCCAAACCCTCCCTCCCCCTGCCCTTTTTGATCTTTAAAGAACCCTTAAGTAAAACTCAGATTTAAAAGAATTTCACAATGAACAGGATAGATACAGCTAGAGACAATTCAGAATGAAATCGAAATAAACCCCCTTGAATGAGGAAAGTTGAATATCTGATAAGCTTCCTTATTTTACCTTGAGCAAAGCTATTTTGTCTTGTAAGGAATACAGTTTTTCGTAAGTAATAAGTTGAATTACAAGAAAGCAATCAAGAAACTTCTAGGAAATAAACATATACTGGACTTGATCAAAGATCAGCTCTGTGCTCTGAACCAATTCATCCTTTTCCTGAATTATGAATCACGTCATAATTCCTTACTGATGTTATAAATTAATCCCTGAATATGCTTTGTCTTACCTATTGTGGTGCACAGTCATTTTGCAATTCCAGGCTCACACTGTACATCTTCTGAAAAGCCACGAGATTTTAGTAGATGTGGGCTATTCTGTTTGCCATCACAAACATCTCAGAAATTCAACTAGCTGTAGGCTGTTTGTAAGACAGTAAACTGGATGGAAATATATATCAGAAGCATATCATCCACATCTAGTGAATGTTCTCGCTATGGATGATCAAAAATATCTTGGTATTAATACTGACTAATGCTCCTAATGCTTCGTAAGCATCAGGCATTACTTGGAACTGCTTTTCATGTCTGTCTTTTCTGAAGTACTTCAGATTGCATGCTAGCTTTGCCAAAGCACTGTTAGTTTTTACTATGGGCCCGACTTACTGCTATGACTTTCGTAGAGTGTAGAAATAGACATGGTGCTTCTGCACAAAGCTGGGTTTATGCAGACCTTAAATATACATGCATGTGTAAGTAACTGACCTGTGCAGCCCTCTGACTCCTTCCCTGAGGAAGCAGGACTTTGATACCTTTATTAGTTGACCACGGTAAGTGAGCTGCCGTGGAGTATGGAGTGGTAAGTTGTGGCTGATGAATGCCAGTAATAATGGCAACCTCCTTTAAATATGGGGAAACCACAAAACTAGGAGAAGAATAATAATTCCATACATATATGGAGTCTTTGTGATTCTCTCTGGGCAACAAAGTTGTCCTGGCTTTTGTTCAAGGCAGAGTTAAGGTCAGGTCTGATCTTAGGGTCCTGTCATGCATCTCACTCTTATACAAGTTATTTTGGAGATGCTGTTTGTATGGAGGGACTTCTCACTCAAGTAAAAGTGGTATGATCAGACTCAGGTTATTTACAGGTGAAATAGCTATTAAAATTACCTGCTGGTTTCAGCTGTTGTATCAGTTCTTCATGAGTGCTGCTTTGAAAGCTTTAGGTTTGTGTCCTGGGTATTTTTTTTTATGTATATGACTTGAGGTCTAATTACAGAAGTTAAGAAAGGAGCAAATCTTAGTTCTTTTGAACTCAAATTAATTGCATACAGAGTTGTTCATAGTTTTCCCCAATAATTTGCCTGTTTGTCTGCAAGAGAAACCTTTGCAGTACGGTAAATGGAAGTGCACTACCTATTTCCTGCTCACTTAACAAAACAAAATCAAAGGTGTAAGTCATCAAGTGATTGTCATATCTTCTGATAATGTAAACTTGATTTCATGTCCTGGTCATTTCAAAATATCATTGACTATTAGCCAATTATTACAAGACAGTTTTGCATATGGAACCAGATTCATACCTTAAATTTTACTTGAGTTTTTTTGCTA